TTTGCTAGGAATTCTCCTGGCACTCTGCCAAAGGCAAACTCTCTGTATTTCAGGCCAGATACTATTTCTCCTCATAAAAAATGTCACCTGCATTATATGATGCAATCAAAATCAGTAACAACTTTTATAGCAAATCGGTCCAATCACCAGCACTTTTCCAGCATTTTAGACAAGAATTGTTCCCAGCCTGACCTAGAGAATGCCAAAGGATGTTTTATACACAAAATATTCTATTGCTAGAACATTATGTTTTGGTCAGCTGTAGCAAAAATTTCCTACAAACAACTTAATGGGAATTCCCCTATATCTCTAGACCAATCATTGTATGCAGTGTTATGGACCAAATTGACAATATTTTCCCCTCTTAACTAAAAATCATATTTGATGTTCATAGCAATGGATCTCGTCACATTATCTTATTTAACCTATTCAGAGAAATGCTCTAAATGTTCTGATGATTTGTTTAATAATTCTTGGGCACATTAACTAAACCATGACTCTTTGCACTTAAAAGAATACATAAGTTACATAAATTTCAGTTTACTTAACACATATTTCCTTTGTTCTCTCACATAAACTCAGTACAAGGATTTCTGTACAGTTAGTAAACAATAACACTTTTCTCTCCCAAGAAAGGGAACTATTTAAACTGCAAAATTGAAATATTGCTATCTTTTACATGTTCGTTTTTAAAACACAGAAATAACCATGTCTTCTTGGTTATTGCTGCATTTAGTGTGACATGAGAAGAGATCTTTGCTATTATTGTTTCAACAGAGCAATGTGGCTACTTATTAGGACTGCCTCAGACACCACCACTATGGATGAGTTGGAAAAGCATCTAATTGATTGCGGCTATATACTTTGTGCTTAAGTATTCTAAGAACAGATTGTTATGAGGCAGCTATAGACCACATCCACAATTTCCCCTTTGAATTTCATTTCCATTTGCTTTAACTCTGGGAACATATGGTAATTTTTTGGGGAGGTGGTGGGAAACCCTAATCCCCTCCACTAGCTGAGTTGGAGATGTACAGAGAGAGTAAATCTCTCTGGGCATGGGCATGGAAACTACACTTGCACAATCTTCAAAAAAGAATCAGAAGAAATGCTTTGGTTCTTTCCCGAATATAGACCCGCTACTAATTGCTGAACCAGCATGACTCTTTCCATGCTTTTATCTGAGTTTGAAAAATATGTAGCACCTTTAAGGAATCTATTTGTTAAAGTTAGGAAAATGTTTTAGAAACCCATTTTCCAGGTTTCCATGAAAGCCTGGAAAAAGTCAGACTCCATTAATCAACAGCAGAGAGATAATGTTCTCAATCATTTTGTGTGAAAAGCCCTGAAGAAAATTCTCCTCTTGAGGTAGGTTTCTCCTTTTTGAGAGCAGGTATAGCATCACTTTTTTTAAAAAAATGCCCATATATATTATTGCTTAACTTCTGATATGAAAAGTTCTGTAAATAGACTAAAATGTTTGGCAGCTCACTACAAAATAGACCACAGTATTTTAGAGATACTAAATTGTCAGATTTTCCTCTTATACTGGTAGTCCTCAACTTATGGCCACAATTGAGCCCAAAATTTCTGTTGCTAAGTAACACTGTTGTTAAGTGAATTTTGCTCCATTTTATGACTTTTTGCCACAGTTGTTAAGTAAATCACTGCCATTGGTAAATTAGTCATTCACCTGCTTAATGAAACTGGTTTCCCCAGTGACTTTGCTTGTTAGAAGGTCGCAAAAGGTGACCACATGACCCCTGGACATTTCAACTGTCATAAATATGAGTCAGCTGCCAAACATCTGAATTTTGATCATGTGACCACGGGGATGCTGCAATTGTCATAAGTGTGAAAAAGATCATGTCACTTTTTTCCGTGATGATGTAACTTTGAACGGTCACTAAATAAACTGTTGTAAGTCGAGGAGTACCTGTAGTTAATGATATATATTTTTCAGCTGCCAGGCTTTGCTCTTGGGCAGACATTATTACATTAATCTAATCAATTATAAAGTTCTTTTTCTAGCTGTTTTCATGGGCATGTCTTCATCTACTACAGACATTTCTACTATTCTACGTTCATGCAGTTACTACAGTTTAATGCAATGATTATTTAAAACTTAATTCAGCATAGTTGAATTAAGGAAAAGCCAATATTATGTGTTAAGAAGACAAAAAGCTTAGCTCCTTCACTATTAATTTATGGAAATAACAGAGGTCACTTTTTACAGGGATGTTTTCTTTATCTTCTTCTAAGAAAACAGTTATCCATAATCTAGAAAGCAGAATTTAGAAAGCTCCTATCATAAACTAAATCTCATTTTCCTTTAGGACAGGAGAGTGGGTATAAGGCATATCCAAAATCATATACATGGCTTGTTCTTAATAACTCGAGAAAATTATAATGTTATTTATCTAATATAAATAGAATGTAAATTTTGGGAAATTAGGAAAATGTATTATTGTCAGAAAGTGTGAAGGTTCATTCTGCAGCAAACAGTTTGAGTTTGCAGCTCTTTTATTAGTTGAGATCAATAACTGCTCTATTTATCATTCATTTTTAGTTTAGTTGTTAAAATTCCTGTATTCTATTTCAATTTGAAATAGCTGCTTCCAGCAATAATGGGTTGTCCTTCCCCGTGATCCCTATAGAATACACTTTATTTGGGAAATTTAGAGCCACAATTATACCTAGTAGCTTAACTATTTAATAACATTCATTAAATTGTTTGTATTTCCATGCCTTCCTAAGAGACAGCCATGTTTCTATGTATTCTAATAGCCTTCATTATATGTACCATCTAATTGCATTGTTATAATTGTAACATTATTGTAATTATTGCTACCATGGCCTGGTGTTGGTATATTTCTGAGCCACATATACCCACTCCATATACAGGTTATAACCATCACCTGCTTTTTTAACTCACTATATTTTTTTGGTGGGAGAAATACTTTTCAGTAGTTTTCAAAAGGAGAATCAAAGTAGTATTCTGCAACAGAAGGAACAAAGAACCCTTAAAGCGTAAAAAAACCCCACAATTGTGCAGTCTATTGTGGATCACAGTCCACTTCATCAGATATATAAAAACTCTGTTGAACTGAGTGGTGAGTGATCTTCAACAGCTTATGCAATCATAATTTTATTCGTCTTTAAAGAACTATACAATCCTATAAATATGCTATAGAATAAAAAAAAACTTTTATTCTTTAACTTAAATAGTGCCTTTGCCAGGTGAAAGAAACATATTTTTTCATTTTGATATACAGCTCTAAAGCTGAATGTATTTAAAACAATGTTTACTGCTTAGAGACTGCTCAGCCTTTACTATATGTGTTGCAACTTTAAAAAAATNCCATCCTTCTGAGGTTGGTAAAATGAGGACTCAAGTTGTTGGGGGCAATATGCTGACTCTGTAAACTGCTTAGAAAGGGCTGTAAAAGCACTGTGAAGCAGTATATAAGTCCAAGTGCTATTGCTATCTTCCAACAAAATGGATATCCATGCAGCTTCATCAAAAGGTTTCTGACTACTCAATCAACTAAAGTATAACCAACACAAGCTATGAAAAGGATAACACTATTACAACAACAAAAATCTCAGAAAAAATCAGCAGGACTATTTCACCCACACTGCATTATCATAACACACAAACTAAATTAAATTAAAGCCGTCCAAAACCTCTTAAGTAAACCAAAACAATGAAGGAAAAAACATGAAGGAAAAACAGAAGGCATCTACTACCTACAGTATAAGGACTATAGCAGCCACTTTGTAAGATAGACAGGCAGAAGACTAGAAGAGTAGATCCATGAAGGACACAATGAAAACTCCTTAATCTCTCATGCAGCCAAAAAATGGACAGACTCAACCATAGTTTCAACTGGGAAACTGAGCATCCTAGACCAATTCCAAAAATGTTAGAGAATTCTGGAAGCTTGGTATTCAGACAAATCAGCTACTGTAAGAAATAAACCACATTTACATGCCATTCAAGAGACAAAAGCTAAAAAGGAATCAAAGACCAGAACAATCTCCTCCAGCAGCCAACACCCGGATAAACATGAATTAACACCAGACAAACAAGCAGAAAACAATGCCCTCATCAAGGAACTTCCAAGTAGAAATCCTCATCCCCATCAAAACTGGGAGGGCAAGCTATTGCATATAAACAGGGATCAAATCCACTCTCACTACTACTGATGATATTACCTAATTGAGTAATGAAATGTCTGCAACCAAACAATGAAGCTGAGAGAACACCAAGGACACTACAGTTTAGTTCTGAGCTACATTTACTCTTCTACTGAAATTATCATAGAGCCCTTGGCAAGATTATTAAAAGTATAGGAAGTTTCCAAATTTACAACTGAACTCGCCCAGTTCAGGTTATCAGATTTTGGGAACAACATTTTTGATTTAATTTAAATGCAGCTATAAAACATCAGTATTGAGTTAGGAATAATTTAAAACTTTTCCCTTGAACTCTTATCGAAATCTATGTAATAATTTTAAACCTATTTCCCTAAAAGCCCATTTAATCTTAAATTAGCTTTGTTTTGGTGCTTTAGAGCTGTATGAGGTCTCTATTCAGCAAATGCTAAAAAGTGAGTAATATGAGAAAGGGCTTGTAGAATAGATTTAGATCAAGAAATATTGAAGGGGGAATGAGAAAACCACTTCACTCAGCACCGTTGCTACTAAATTGACTGCTTTTATGGAACATGACAATGTGAACAAAAGCCAACTTCTTTGTTGCTCATGTTAGTAAAGAATTTGCATCTACGGTACTGTATAATTTTGAGTATAATATTTAGTACAGATAGAAACTCATTAGGATTCTTAAACTATTCCAGAGATGGAACTGTTATTTTCTTTACAAATTAATAAAATTGACAGAGATACTGAGATTTTCTAAGCACATAGTCATAAACTTTAAAAAGAAACGCTAATGCTGTAAAAAAAAAAGTTTCATGGGTCATAATTCAACATACCATTATACCTATATAATGTCGATAGCAAAGAGGCAGTGGACCATCCATCTGCAGTAGATAATGCTGAGTTTTCAAAAAACTCTCCAGATACCGTGGGTGAAAAACCATCACCAATGTAATGTTATCCAAATGCCCCAAAGTTGTGAAAGACTCAGCAAACAAAGAAGACATCTGAGGATCCTCCGCACTCACTTGAAGAATCTGTGTGAATGAGAGGGGTGTGTGTGTGAGAGAACCACAACAACATTATTTTCTAGGAGCAAAAATAACATATTTTAAATAATTATAACCTTCAAGGCTTTTTCAACCTCAGCAACTTTACGATGTATGGATTTTAGCTGACAGAATTCCCCAGCCACAAATGCTGGCTAAACAATGAGGGGAGTTGAAGTCTATATATTTTCAAGTCTCTGAGAATGAGAAAAACCGTTCAAATAAGTTGTGAAGTCTATATATTCGGGATGGCGAACCTATGTCACGTGTGCCACAGGTGACATGTGGAGTCATTTGTCAGGGCACATGAGGCATTGCTCTGTCAGCTGGCAAGCGTGCACGCGCGCTGGCCAGCTGAGTTCAGACTTTTTAAAAGCTATTTTTCGCCCTCCCCAGGCCCCAGAGGCTTTATAGGAGCCTGGGGAGGGTGAGAAGAGCCTCCCCCTGGAGACCCTCCGGAGTGCAAAAAACCAGCCCTATGAGCAAACCGGAAGTTTGGGAACGGACTTCCGATTTGCTCGGAGGGTCGGTTTAAGCCCTCCGGAGGCTTCAGAGACCTTCAGGAGGCTTCCCTGAAGCCTTGGGAGGACTAAAAAGCACCCTACGAGCAAAACAAACCGTAGGGTCCTGTTTAGTCCTCCGGAGGCTTCAGGAAAGCCTCCTGAAGGTCCCCGAAGCCTCTGGAGGGCTTAAACTGACTCTCCGAGCAAACCAGAATTGACTTCCGGTTTGCTCATTGGGTTGTTTTTTGCCCTGAAGGTCCCTGAAGCCTTCGGAGGGTCTCCGGGGAGATGGGGGGGGCTGTTTTTGCCCTCCCCAGGATTCTATAAAGCCTCTGGAGCCTGGGGAGAGTGAAAAAAGCATGGAAAAATAGAGGGGGGAGTGTCTCTCATGCACGCATGCGCACTGGGGGGTGTCACACATTGCATTATGGGTGTAGCACGCCCACGCATGCCCCCCTGTGCCCCCCTTTATGGCACACACCAAAAAAGGTTCGCCAGCTCTGCTATATACTGTGCACACATTGAGTTGGGGCACAGAAGAGATTCTAGAAATTAATCATTGCCCAAATATGGCAAATAGTATGTGAACTACAAATTAATAATGTGGCTGATTAATTATCTGGAGGCACATTTTAACTGAGAAATAAATAGAAAGCATATATTTAATTATCAGCAATAGGATAGTCAATAAAATCTTCCAAATTGCTAAGTAGTGGAAAATAAATCACTCTCAGAAGGCCACTTGTGAATCTTAATTTGGAATTAAAGTTCACCAGCTAATTATATTTATTGAACATGCAGGTCTGTTACAATTATGGATCAGGTCAAACAATATTTGATGCTCAAAAGAATTGGGCAACCACTTTAAAATGGCCAATTAAATACTAGTTGTCCTCAACTTACGATTACAATTGAGCCCAAATTTTCTGTTGTTAAGTGAGACATTTCTTAAATGAGCTTTGCTCCATTTTACAACCTTTCTTTGCCACAGTTGTTAACTGAATCACTGCAGGATAAGTTAGTAATTTGGCTGTTAAGTGAACCTGGCTTCCCCATTGAATTTGCTTGTCAGAAGGTTGCAAAAGATGATCACATGACCTTGGGACACAACAACTGTCGTAAGTATGAACCAGTTGCCAAGCATCTGAATTCTGATCACATGATCATGGGGATGCTTCAAAGGTCATAACTGTGAAAAATGGTCATGACTCATTTTTTTCAGTGTTGTAACTATGAACGGTCACTAAGTGAACGGTTGTAAGTCAAGGACTATCTGTATTAAAATTACATGAACATCTTTTCCTGATGCCAAACACTACTAATGGTTTGTTGCACTCTGGATGGCCAATACAATTTGCAGATTAGCAACTGATCTTCAGTCAACATTAAACTTTGAAAATCCCCTCCCACCTGGGCAAAAATGTCACAATTTTATTATTGTTTTCATACAAAACAGAAAGACTTACCTCCATTTCTGGGATAAATCTGCTTGGTCCTTGTCCCAGTGGTCTGGGGATCCTAATTCCAAGTTCCTAGAAAAGAATGTTACACTACAGTACCTGGACTTTTTAGTTATAAACATTTCAGCTGTGGCTTTGAGAGCAATTAATGCTTCACCACTGAAACAGAACCAGCCTTGTATTTCAGAAGTGCAATCAGTGAAAATGTTCTGCCCATGCTTCATAACAAGCCACACTTGTTTACAGTGCACCATTCTGCTGCCATTAAAAACAATGAAACCTGGTTCAGTAAAAAACCTAGTTTTGCATAAAGTACTTGGCAAAGGGTCAAGAACAAGGAGTTCAGTACACAGCTGCTAGCAGGGTAATGTCAGCGATACTGGAGGCTTTTGAAGTACATCTGCATATCCGCAAAACAGAATATGTATGAAATCTCTCTGTATCTTTCAGGAAGTAACAGGGCTGTAATTTTATCAGGGCTTGGAGGGGGAAGCCACAAAAGTACATGCAATAGGATTTTTAATGTCTATTTAAAAATGACAAAGAACAAACAGTAATTTCTTAGACTGAATTTATAGTCAACTTGAAACTTTTATCCACCGCAAAACTTTCGCTGAATTAATTTTCAAGCCCCATTGCACAACTAAAATGTTTTCAGCTACCATCTTTTAAACATATTACAAAAGCAGTGAACTCAGATTACCCAAGTGGCATTTTAAAAAACACCTTTATGCAAAGACTGCATGAACTAATTTTGCAATTGTATGATTATGCAGTTAAAAAGATAACCTTATGGAATTCACAAAACTACAGCAGCTTGCTTTTGTTATTGTGAACAAGCCCTAAGTCACATAATCATCTTATTTTTTTTGTGCAGAATCACTTCATCCAGAAAAGAAGTTCTGTGTTAGAAGAAAATATTTTTCTTTTGAGTTTGGAAATATATATATATCAAATTATGATATACAAGTACCTCCACTCATTAAAAAATAATAAGTAGTAGAGACCAGCATTTTTTTTTTAAAAAAAGCAAGACTTGGCCTTTTGAAAAGCACTGCTGGAGTTTTGGCTGCCCACTGAAAAAGCAAAATGAATATGTGGGCAAAGTGATTATCTTACAACAGGTTCTGGAGAACAGGCGCCAAGTTCTCTCCTGGTCAATTACCAAATAATCAAAAGAAAGACTGATCCAAGAGCCAGTTTGGTCTAGTGGTTAAGTTACTAGGCTAGAAATCAAGAAGACTGCGAGTTCTAATCCTCTTGCTTTAGGCATAAAAGCCAGCTGGGTGATTTTGGCCAGTCACCCTCTCTCAGTCCAACCCACTTAACAAGGTTGTTGTGGGGAAAATAGGAGGAGGAAGGAATATTAGATATATTTGCTGCAGGTATTTATAAAAATAATAAAGGCAGGATTAAAAAAATATTTTAAAAAAGATGGATGAATGGTTAAATGAGCCACACGTTACCGTATTTTTTGGACTATAAGACACACCTAGATTTACAGGAGGAAAACAAGAAAAAACATTTTTTTGGCCTTTGTGTGTTGTGTTTTTGCTCTCCCTGGTCCCCAAAAGCACTATGCAGACCAAAAACGGGCCCATTTTGGTGAAACTGGACGTGCAGAGCATGTAGGGTGCTTCTGGGGGCTGGGGAGGGCAAAAACGTGATGTGCGGAGGGCTCGGGCCCCCCAAAATGGACCCATGTTTGCTAAAAATGGACTCATTTTTGGTGAAAAAGGGACATGCAGAGCACTGCAGAGTGCTTCTGAGGGCCAGGGAGGACAAAAACATGATGCATGGAGGCCAATTTTTTTTTCTTGTTTTCCTCCTGTAAATCTAGGTGCATCTTATAGTCCGAAAAATAGAGAAGGTTCAGGAGGCCAAAAACGCCCGTATTCGGTCTATAAGACGCACCTAAAATTTCACCCACTTTTAGGGAGGAGGAAGGTGCCTTGACTACTGTATTTTAGGTCTCACGCACACATACACACATTCCAATTATTTTAGAAATTGACAGTAAATGAAAACATGGCATTTGTAATGTAGCTATAAGCATCCCAATAGATTATCACAACCACAGCTGCCACACCATCACTATTCATTCACCCTGGCAACAGCTCTCTTTTTATGGGAATATAACAACTTTTTTGGGGGGGCGGGGGAAATAGGCACACATCCTTTATCTTTAATGTCATGTATTCAATATATCTACTTGATAAAACACATTGCTATTTTTTTCTTTGATCAGTTTGAATAAATAGGTAGGTAAGACAATACACAGGGCTAATATAAACAACATGAGACACCCAATCTTTTCTGCAGCCTCTCTCAAAACAGTATGGGCAAACATTGAAATGCCCCATCTTCCTTATTCTACTTTCAGGTTCTATCAGTTCGTTCAAAAATAGCAGTTCTTCACCACAGACAAAAGGCAAAGGCTGCCAAAAAACCAGAAACATTAGAGAATCAGTACATATGTTTTGGACCCCACCTTGATTCCTCAGTCAAAAATAATTATGCTTTAAAACTTTTTCTTCAAGGTATCTTATCAGTACAGTATCTCTCCAATCAGTTCCTCAAATCCAATGTATTTTATTTCATTTTGTCATAATCTACTGAAGTTCCATATCCCAAGATTAAAATGTCTTCTTATGCCTTTTATCGCATGTTCCCTATTTTTACCTCTAAAACATACTGAGTACAAGACCCAAAAGCTTAGTTCTATCTTAAGATTTATTTGTTTGTTCTTTATTCCCCCCTTCCTTGGGGAAAACTCTTTATCATGTTCTGCCTCTCATCTACACTTCTTGAAGCTTTCTTGTTTTTTCTTTTCTATTGCTAAACCTTTATCCAGAACTGTTTCATTAATTCACACAACACAATTCTTTTAGTCCATGCACTGATCTTCTAACTAGTTCAGAATCTATCATCTTTACAATTAAAACCATAAAAGGTTTCCTATACCATTTCTCAACTTTCATTTACTCCCTAGCATCCTCAGTAGGTGTTGGTTTCCTCATACGATTTTTCCCTTTCCCTCTCTCGGTTTATATTTATGTCCGAAAGATCTTACAGTTTTTAAAATTCTTCCTCAAAACTATCTTTCCTCTGAGGCTTTTAATAACCCCTTAATTTCTATGCTATTGTCATCTGCATTCAATATATAGCTTTCTTTTCTCATTTATACCTGCCTACTCACCGTTTTTAAATGCTTATCCACTTGGGACAAGGATCCATCCTTATTCCCCTCACCCTTTCCCTCTCACTTAGAAATATTTTCTGGTCAATTTAGATATTTAAATTGGCATGCAACCACATGCATCTTTAAATCCCTATAGCTCTTTTCAGTTTCTAATGAATGATTTCATATTATGTTTTCATGTAGTAAGATTTATGTTGGTGGTTGTGTACATTTCCCTTTAAGTACAATCAATGGCTAAAACAATTATATTTTTCTCTACTCTTATTACTGAAGTGGACAAGACAGGCAAGTTGGATCTCTAGAGCTAAGCAATATTTTTTATGGGTGGGAACATTCACAGAAACCATTTCCACCCACATACTGTTCTCTATTTTACAATTGAACAACAACAACACAACTGGAGATTTTCCTTGAGTCAGCCTCCAAACAACCAATTGAGGAAGTGAGTTGATGCCAAGTTTTATAAGAGATTATACAAAACTGATATTGTCTATAAAAAATTTTATGAGGTACACAACTGACTTCATATAACTGACACGTTACATTTCCTAGAAAAAGGTCTTCATAAGTAGAGTTCGCCTGTTCTATTATTCTCTTATTTCACTTAATTAACGTACAATTCCTTAAATCTTATTTCTAGGCTTTTTGATTAAATGATAGCACAAGCCGCACTATTCATAGAGACACCTTGAAAACATTAAACACCCACTCATAACACCATTTGAGCCCAATATCTGTCATATTTTCATGCAACCGGCAACTCATTTCAGATTGCAAAAGTGATATCCATGAACAAAGCATACTAAGCATGTCAATGACAGAATAAACCTGAGACCACAATATATGGAATGCTAATACATAAGAAGTCTAAGTTTATCAAAGAATAAGAACATTTAGAGCCACTGGATGAGTATTCTTGCCAGATGAAAAGCATTTAGCTGCTGCTTGCATAGCTCCTGCACAAACAACCCACCATCTTTCACAGCAGTCTGGTCTGCTGCCAAGAAGCTCTATCCACAAATAAGTTATTTGCATGGCTTAACTGCATTTTATTTCTCTGCAGTTTCCAATAACTCATTTTAGGATTTCAAATGGCAAAAAAAGCATTAACCCTTGGTTAGTTGGTATTTAATGGCAACAAGGTGAAAAGTGGTATTGAATAGGAGCTTCAACAGCATAAACTGGGGGGGAGGGGGAGATCTGATTTTCAAAATCACCTTCAAAGCAAATCTGAGTAGCATTACACTTCCACTGGTACCATTGTATTTTATGTATAAGAACAAGTATTGTTGAGGCCATACTTTTTCTATTTTTCTGTATCTTAAGCCAAAAGCAAACTAGATGGCAAAACAAGCAACAGTATGGAAAATCTTCCAGGGAAAGAGAAATGCACTACCAAATAAGCCAAGCTACTAATTCCCAACGTAACTGCTGTCCCCGTTCTTCACCATTAACAAGGAGTTTAAGGGTATATTTTTAACCTCATAATAAAAATAAAATCATATTTCAAATACTTCAGAAAGATTCTAACAAGCCCTTACCTTTCTATCCTAGGGACCCATTTCATTCTCATTCCTGGGCTGATTTCAGCAGAGACCAGACCTGTCAAAAGTTCATTCTTGAACCCTTTCACTGCCAACAAACCTTCTAATTGCTCTGCTTATTTTCCAACCATATATTTGATGCTCTTGCCTTCGCATCTTGCAGCTCAATATTTGTCATCTCCATTCAGCTTTGCTAGCGGACCCCGAAAAACCCAAAGAGTATCTTCCCCACCCCCACCCCACTTCCATCAATCATACAAGACTCCCTGCTTGATCCTTGCCAAGTCCTCCGTCCCGCCTCCGGTCTTTTTACCTTGTTCCCACAGCTAGTACAGCGAAACGGTCGCCCTACTTCGCGGTCCCGAGTTGGATTGGGGTCGCTCGCCAGCTTCATGCCTAAACGCGAGTTCGGGTTGGCGCCGCTGTGCTGCCACGGCCGCCGCCGCCGCTCCCTTCCCCACCGACAGGCACCGCTTAGCACTCAGAAGAGCTCCCGAGCACAAGCCGGTTGAGACTTTAAAAACAGCTGGCGGGAGGGGCGTCCCGAGCCGGGTACAAACAAGACAAACGGAGCCCTTCCTTTTGGCCCGCCGCCCACCAATGAGCGGGCCCGGAGCCTTTTGGGGCGGGGCCCGATGGGCTACCTTGCGGGGAAGGGAGCGAATGATCAGAAGGCTCCGGGATGAGAGCGGAGAAGCGGGTGGCGCTTTCAACGCAGCTTCTCAACCAGGCTGGCCGAGAGCTGTAGAAACGCGGCAGGCAAGGCCTCTGGAGTCCTTTTAGTCCTCCTCTCCTGTTCTTCATGCAACATTAAGAGGAGGCTATTTTTAAACGGCCTCTTTGCAGTACAGCAGGAGGAAGCTCGACTCTGATGAGAATCGCTTGGCCGCCTTCTGCAAATAAATGGAAGAATTGTTTGTAACAACGGGAAGAGTAAAAAAAGGACTCTTGCCCCAGCCTTCCAGTGTCCAGATTTGTTAAATTATCTCAAGGGCTTCGGCATTCTCAAGTAGAGATGAGTGCTGGGTCGATAGACAATATAGCAATACTACTTAGACTTACATACCGCTTTATAGTGTTTTACAACCCTCTCTAAGCTGTTTACAGAGTCAGCATATTGCCCCGGACAAGCCTCATTTTACTAACCTTGGAAAGATGGAAGGCTGAGTCAACCTTGAGCTGGTGAGATTTGCACCGCAGCTAGCAATCAGCTGAAGTAGCCTGCAGTACTGCCCTCTAACCAGTATAGTTTGCATGTTACCCTCCCCCTTAAAAAACAAAACGCAACTGTATGCTTGTAGCAATATTTGAAGTATTTTATTTGGATCCCAAAAATGTGTTGGGAGAGTG